GTCCCCACCCCTGGGGGTATTTAAAAGCCGGGGAGATGTGGTGCTGAGGGACATGGTTTAGTGGTGGCCTTGGCAGTGCTGGGTTAACAGTTGGACTCAATGATCTCAGAGGTCTTTTCCAACCTTAATGATTCTATGATTGATACATACTAGCAGCTATGAGAAACTGATGCACACAAATTTACGCAATCCACCAAACTGACACTGAACTGAGTGGAGAAACGTGTATTGAAACACTCAAGAGAGACACGGAAGACCTGAGATAACTCCATTTAGAGCACAGCAGCAAGCTAAGCAAAACCTGGACTATTCAGGAGTATTACATGGAAAAATAAAGAACACCCACCACCTTCTCGCGTTCCTTCAGAAGTAATGCCCAGAGGAGTTAAAAAAAAAGAATCTGTTGTGACAGCATCTGACAGTGCTGCATCTCAGGAAAACAGGAGAGAAGAGACCTCCTGCATCATCAGGACCTACGTCCTCCTACGGCAGCAATCCTGCTCTTGTCACTAAGCAGAGAGGGGAACACTGCCAGCATATCCACAGTTAACAGCTCAGTCATTAAAGACTGTTGACACCTACGTTGTTTAAACCTAATAGTAACAATACCCTGAGAAAAATTAGTTTTCTGAAATATCTATGTAGGGAGATGGTAGCTGGAAAATTTTAATTTTAAATTTTAAAATTTTAAATTCTCACTCTCAAGAAAAGGAAATTGGATGTCAGCAATGGATCTTAAAGTCAAAGAACCCATAGTCCTGGAGGAATTTATAGTCACAAAGCTTGGACAAGAGCAGAGAGGACAGAGCAGGAAGAAGTTAAAACAGCAAGGTAATCAAAGCATGAGAGAGTTCCTGCCACTCACAGGAAGACTCACAAGTGGAAAAAAGGAATCTAGACTCCATGAAGAACCCCAATCCAAACCTAAATTGCTCACGCAGTAAGAAACCTGGGATAAGGAGCACATTCAAATACCTCGGCATTTTGTCAGTGCAAGATTTACCCTTTCGCAGCAACTAACACTTTGTGGCCTTGTTTAAACCCGCTCTGCAGTCAGTAAAGAGGAGTGAGACCACATTCTTATCTCTCTGTGGGGTATCCTGGACTAGATGCCAAAGTCCTGAAATTGGGTAAGATGAACCACACGCTTGACTCAAATATTTCTTGTGCTAACTGTATCAAGGAGAGATGGTTCTGGACACCCAGAAAAAGTCTCATGTCTGTTTGTTTGCACTATCACACACTCCCAAAGAAAAGCTGTGGGCCAGAGTAATACAAAGCAGAGCTGCAGGAAAAGTCTTACTTTACCGCCACATTTGGGGTGCCAGTATTGTTCTGTAGGCTCATTTCTAAAGGCTTTGGTTCATCTATGCCCTTGAAAGTGTGCTGAGGAAGCCAAGGAGCGTGTGTCAGACACCAGGCAGGCCAGGACCCTGAAGAGAACCTGCACAAGCCCAAACCGCAGCAGCCTGGGAGCTGTCGGTGGAGGGGCAGCACCAAGGTCATGACTCAAGGACAACTGCGTCATCCCTGCCTTCAGCACTTGTGCCCCAGGAGCTGCAAGGCAAAAAAAGCACACACGGGAAGGAAAACACAGTACGACAGCGAGATCTCACACACATGCACTTCAGATCTGATCAAAGCAACAGCACTAAGCCACAGTCACTTTCCGGGTGCCGTACACAGAATCGGTGCACGGTTTGCTGCAACTCACCCAGGAGAGGACAGGACTACAGAGACCAAAGTTGGCAGCACCGCAGATGCTCTCATCAATGCTAGCACAGAGCAACTATGCCATTATTTTGTAAGAAGCTACTTAAAAGACCTAGTACACATGGAGCTTAATTAATTCTCCTGGGACAGGAGACTCCCCTGAGTTGCTCTGCAGAGATTTTAATTTAAGGATCCAGGGAGCTTGCACCTTCTGCTTAGATTACATTACTCACAACAGCAAACAAATGATGTTCCCTACTCAGTAAGACAGTCAAATGCACACACACACACTCCAGCCACGCATAATAAATATACATCAGCAGCCACTTGGACTTGCAGCTAATTTCAGGAGATGATTTTTCTCTCAAAAAGAGAAGTCAGAAGAAACATGAACAGGACAGAGCTCAGGAGGTGCAGAGAAACAATCCCAGGGCATCTCCTCCTGCAGCATGAGAACAGGATCCCACAGCTGCCTACACAAAACCACAGGGGACCAGATGGTTGCAGCAGTGCTACCCATACAGGTGATCCAAGTCCCCAACCCTCTTGGGAAGGACAGAAGAGTCTACCTTTGTAGCCTTATCTACTGTCTTGCAGAGCCTCCTCGACATACATAAAGAAGATATAAGGACACGGGGGATATATGGAGGAGGAGCACAGAGAAACCGTGTGCGATGTGCTCCGGGAAGTCCAGAGGAAACCTTCCAGCAGGTGGGTCATCACCACTGTAGGAATTCTGAGGGTGGCAGAGCCGTCACGAGGCAGGGACTGAGACGTGCCTGGGGTGGCAGGATGGAGGCACACTGGCAGCACTTGTCCCCACCAGCAAAGAGGCAATGCAGGGAGCTCCTCAACAAGTTCTCTGCCCTCCCAAAAGGCTTTTTCAGTTAGACATTTCTAGAGCAGGGCATGAACAGGGAGACACATAAGAGCAGCTGCCTTGTGCCATGGTCTGCATGACCAGACCCTCCTCAAGGACTTTACATTCCCCAGCCCGAGTCCACTCAGCTAACTTTTCTGGTCAAACCACCGCAATTCACACCACCAAGGGAGACCTCAGAGCTCCCACATAACAGCAGCAGCAACTTGTCAGTACTTACAGCAGGTGTGCAGCAAACCAGAATCCCAGAGACGCCTGGACTCTACAGAGTTGATACTACTTGAGTAGCATCTGACCATCCTGGTGTGGGCTAAAAGGCCGTTGCGTTCAAAATGCATTAGTCGCTCTCAAACACCCACACTGCCATTTGAAATCCTACCCATCACCAAACATGTTTGTGTGACTGGCTGCCTAATCCTACACCCAGAACCCCACTACAACAGTTATGGTGCATTTTGTCTCATTTCTGTATATCCACCTGGCTGACATCTGCTGAAAACAATCCCACTTCCAGATCTTTGAATGCCGTTGAAAGCGCTCACGTTTTCGTTACTGGTTATGGACAGGGTGCATCATAACGTGGGGAAAAGTTCCAGGTTCTCCAGAGGCACTCCAGACTTTGAAGGATAGATTTCTTTACAATGCAAACAGAGAGCAATATACAGACATCTCTGGATCTCTTCACTTCAAGCCATAAGACTATCTTTCCTCCCAGCCCAGCAGAGGTGCCGTAATGCTGAGTTACAGTCACAGAGAGGTGACTGAGATCTCTCAGCAGCACGGATCGAGTCCTACACATGACTCCCGGTTATTCTAATGCAATTTTGTCTAACACAAAGGAGGCGTTATATAACGCAGCTTCAAAGTTTATTTCTTCCTCTTTTTTCCAGCAGCAAAGAGCTAGTCTAGATGTAGCAGAGACACCGACAGACCTACCCCTTTGCACAGCTGTGCTGTAGGAGCAGCTGAAAAGCTGCGCCAATGCCCCCAAACAGTCACCGGTGATTGCCGTGACACTTGCGCTGCAGCGTGGGAGAAGGGTCGTTTCCATCCTTCTGGGTAAAGGGCACTGTGGCAAAGCTCATCTGCGATAGCTTTTTAAACTTAAGTACAATCAAGCAACGTATACATTGGCTAGGATCTCCCATGTTTGATACTAAAAAGCACTGGGACCAGACAGTAAGTGAAATTCTACACTGTGAGACAAAATATAAAAACATAACAGGCACGATATAGAACCCAAATCTTTTAACTGGTCAGTGCAGTGGCTTGGGACACTGCCGGAGAGGGCAGGTGTGGCAGGTCCAGGTTTTCATGCAATAGGTTTTCCATCCAAAGGAGCAAGACCCCTTGAAGAAAGCTGCTGCCTTTGCCCTCGGACGTGCAGACGGCATCTCAGCGGCTGAGAAACCACCGAGCAAACTGACCACGCTTCCAATTCCCAAAGATTAGAAAGATCCAGCCCTGACAAATCCACTTCTGACCTGCTCCTTGCCAACCTAACAAATAAAACCTGCAGATGATGTTAGCCGGGCCGCCAGCAAGAAGCGGGGACACCTTTGGAGACAAATCACCTCTCTCGAGGCTGAGGGTCCGCTGTGCGCGGGGGAGCGCAGTCGCCCACGGTCACCAGCCAGCTGCGAGCGGGTGGCTGCTTTTTGGGGGGCGCGCCGGGGTCCCTGCCA